TTCTTAAAAAATAGACTTTTTGACTGAATCTCGATAATATGAACAATAAATTAACTGAAATTTAACTTTTATTCAGGGTAATAGGACATTGTTTGATGTAATTATTAACTCGAACTAACCAGGTTAAATTCGTAAAATTTACTCTAACAAGCATTTATTATTATAAAATTTTGAAACTTAGAGGGAGTAAGTGCTTTCAGGAAATCATTCTTTTTTAAATTAATTCCGCACCTTCGTACGTATATATGACATATATATATACAAACATTATTTACAAACACACGTTATACGGATATTTAAATATTTCTCAAATATATGCCACTTTGCAATAAAACGCGGGTAGCAAATCTCGACCTTGCGCGAGCTCGCGCTTTGATTGTGGATAGTGAAGATTCAGTGCTGTTCAGTTCAATTAGTGATAAATACGCGGCTGAAGTAACATGTGGAATGTCCCGTAAATTATTATTATTAAATATGTTAACGCGAGAAGAATCAGATGAAACCATCATTTTTTAAATCTCAATCGTACGTACCCCACAATCTCGCGATTGATATTAATAGTCATCGCGAGCTCGCGCGAGACCGTGCGAGCACTCGCGAGATCGCGCGAAAAATCGTGTTTTCGTTGCAGAGTATACTCTATGTCAGCAGCAATACGGTTCAATATTACATCAACAAATATTTCGTCAACCTTATCTCCACTGCCATTGACTTACAAATAAATGGACGACGGGTCTAATACAAAAACCACGAAAAAAATGTCCCAAGTCAACCTATTCGAAATTTAAATTGTAATGTCATCGCAGTATCGCGCTGTCAGTAGAACAAATGAAGACTAAAGCGGAGTGTCGCGCTCTGTATACGATTTTAGCGCCTTACAAGTGCGGACACTTTTTAGCGCGGACCCGACGTCCATATAATTGTAAGTCAATGACCACGGCGCTCTTTTGAGATCTGAATAAAATTTTATTGTCTATGGTACTCGCCACTAAACTGAAAAATTCAATTGAGTATTTATGGTTCCGTACACATAATTAATTGTATAATGAGTTTCAAAAAATGAATGCCGCAGTTTTTGCTAGATAAAACATCAAATATGACGCTATTCAAACGCTCGACTGCCTTCTGATTGATTAAAGTGGCCTAAGGGTCTCGCAACCTTTTTTTAAAAATATATTGGTTAAAATATAAGGGGTAATTTTACTAACCAATCGGGAGACAGTACAGCGTTTGAGTAGCGTCATATTTGATGTTTTAATTAACAAAAACTCATTATAGTTCTGCGTAGAGAACTATAAATACTCATTATTAAATTTTTCAGTTCAGTCGTGAGAACCATTTTTTAAATTTTATTCAGAACTAAAAAGAGCCCGTTTGTGATATGGTTTATGAAACTATATTTAAATAAATTATAATTTTTATCACATCCTGAAGATGTGATATGCACAGTATAGATATATATCGTGGAATCAATATTGTCTGTTCACATGATAGCAATGCCGTGTTGAGAGGTTCCGTGTTAATTACAAAGTGCCCATTTCAAATGATATTTTTTTTACAATAGGTATATTTACAACAGTAAAGAGAGATGATTTGGAGTAGTAAAGATTACTACATTAAAGGTGACTGTAAAATCAATACTGCTCACTAGAGATATGCCCGCACTAACAAAATTGTACAGTAGTACTTGCTTAACGCGTAGGTACTATAATCGCTTAACACCCGGTGCACGACTTGTTCGTCCCGTCTCTTGGTATCATTAAAAAAACGCTTATAAAATGATTTTCAGATTCTTTGGCCTCTAAAGCTTTAGCAGTGGTCTCTACACATATAATTTTATTCATAGAAGTATTTTTTCTAATTTTACATATTAATTCCTGCCTGAAAATTGGTTTCTGAGATTAGAGTACAATATTTCATCTTGAGGATTAATATTTTATCTCTGGAGCTTAGCTACGTTAAAACGGACACAAAGACAGGCTCCTTTGTTTTATGGTGAATAAAACAATAAATCTTAAGTTAGTTAAGCACTAGCGAAGTCTGATAACAAGAGACTGTGACAGAAATAGCGCCATTAATGAAATATAATTTTCAATTCTTCTTTGGGGTTGTGCGGTAACTATATAAAAATAATGTTTATATAAATATATACGAATGCACGAATTAATGAAAATGTTTCTATACATGTCTCTTTCAGAATTGAAACAACTTTTTTATAATATAAAACAGTTTCCTCGTTATTAGGGTAAACTACATAGGATCCAAAGTCATTTATATATGTATATAATGAAAATTTTTCTTATTATTTAATTTTGCATCCAACTAATATTAAATAGTATAATATATATATTAGGAAAGGATAACCTGCTACAAGCCCAGATAAACAAAGTAGTGTGCCACGTTTGCCTATCTCTGCACCGCACCGTAGACATTTCAACTACAACACAAATAATTGTTTTGACTTCTATGATTTTAAATTAAGTAAAATTTTAAATGACCTATTACAATATTAATATAATTTTTATAAGATTGGCTTGGTACCTCAGAAAATATGAGAATATAAAAACACGATTAACCCACGAGACGGTTTCTGACAGGTGCCCTTAATTTAAATGGGGTAATGAACTCCCGATCGTACCCATGTTTTTTTTCGTAGCATGATCAAACATTTCAAAATGTCAAAGAGAAAATAAGATTCTATATAATTCAGACGCTCAATATCCTGGGAAAAGCGAGCGTGCTATCATTGACTGTAAATATTCTATGAGTGTGCTAAAAGCTCCACGCACTCGATGTTTGAGAATAAAAGACGGCCACGCTAGTACCCATAGATTTCCCCAGGCGTCCATGAATTTACAAGAATGGAACAAAGCTCATATTTGCTACTTCAACACGCTGCAATGAAAGTAATCACCAGATCAGTACAAGGTAAGTAGTACTTATACCCAATCACCAAACGATCTTATTTTCTTTCCTTAATTTGGGAGCGAAATAATAAAAAAGATGGTGTATTTTAGTGTTCAACCAGAAATCTGCCAAATCGTACGTTACGTAACAACCGACTGAATAGGAACATAATGGAATGATTAATTGTGGGATGAGAACCATTCCCCGCGATAATGAACTTCATCGGTCATACGACGACCACTTCACTGCCAATATATCTTCTGTACCAAATACTGTACACCTACTAAACACGCGCAGTCTTTACAATTAAGACACAATAGAAAAATATTTGAGATTGGTCTTATGTAATTGCACACATGCCTTGTTAGCGGCATAAATGAAGTGACGCAACGTGTCATCCTCGACAGAGGCAAAACTAACAAATGGTGAAAGTTCACAGTGCCATGCACTATGGCCGGCGGAGTCCGAGTCGATAAAGATGGCTTGTAATGTCGATTTTTTATCGGTTGTTAAATGTCACTGCCTTCTCGAAATAGCGGGAAGCAACGGACCGGATGTCAGGGATTTTGTTCTCGACGTTTTTCCACTTTCCTCGTGAGTGGAGTGAACCGCGGCGGTATCGTCTGAAATGGAGCGGCAACTTAGGACCGGTTCTTTTCGCACTGTTTTACGCAACCGATCGATGCAATAATGTGCCTGAATTCCGCGCTGATTAACGCGGTATGATAAATACTACCTACTTTTTAGCAGTACCTATATGCGTATTGTCTGTGCAAGTCCTGCCCAATGAAAACGTATCGTTGGTGAAACCACTGTCGAAATCGTGTAATTAAAGCGTTGAGTTGCGGACAACTACGCGACGATCGCCGCTACAACAGCGGAGGTTACAACACAGTTTATGGTATCATTTTGTATCTAGCACACTGATAGATAATCAAATTATCAATTGCGTGTGAAATCATTAAACATGATTATTTATATTTCGTCGTCGCAGGTAACAGCTTTTACTCCAATTAAAACTTACGTGTCGTTACATCATTGTTGGGTATCATCTAATCAATCAATTTGCTACCTCTAAATATATCGCATAGTTAACTCTTTCCTACTTTTATTGTTTATACATTGTTATATTATAAAAGTAAATACTTAATCACAACTACAAATCAGTCTTACGCTATCAGAATTGGAATAAGTTTAATCGTCAAACTACTAAACACTCTGAACAAACTCTAAAGCATTTAGATATAGAACCTCAGTTTAAAAACATTTCAAGAGACATTCTCATTATGAAATGTCGATTCACCGATTGTGAGGCTAGACATTATAAAATGTAATTATATCTACACAAACAGTCACACGCCAATGCAGACACTTGATGAAAGCGCGTTTTATTTTGCGATATGATTACATTTTTTTTAATCCTATGTTATTTAACTATATTTAATTTCTGACTAACAAATTTAATTACATTCCTTCAATGAATAATAGACTCTAGGTCTCACGCATAGAGTAGGTACTTATAAGTAAGAAATGCTAAGTATAATCAACAATACAGAAGGTTGTTTTTATATTAAAATAAAAAGGCAACCTTAATTTCATAATAATGAGTAGTAAGTAACGATCTAATATAGTGTATGAGTTTACATTTTATAAAAGATATAACAAAAAGGTGCGACAACATTTCAGCTGGCGATTCTAACGTAAGATAACATAACTACAAAAAAAATATTTAAACAGAAGGTAAAAGATTTGGTTCTCCATACAAATATCCGATTGATCGTAGAGTTTTGTATTTCGGAATCAAAATTTAAAAAAAGGCATTTGCTGTTTTTGCATACTTATTTGTTAAACTTGTTACTCGCCTTTATAAAGACCGAACCTTTACGTTCCACCCTATATTGTCACAAGTACGAGGATAACAAAAACATTCAATCTATTATTTACATGAAAACAATATTCTAAATAAATATGTATCATCTATATGTATAATGACCGACAATGTCATTCAACTTTCTAAAATAAAAAAAATATATATTTTTAGTTTACTAAAGAATATCACGGCAGCAAGAATGTAAATTATAATCAAAACAAACCTTTACAAACAAATCTTTCCAGGACAAACAATTACTTAACACCACTAAGAAGCTTGCACTGTCTTTTCGTATTTACTTTTACTCAATCGCAAGTGGAAACTGATAAGAACGAAGTATTGACAACGAGGCTGCGCGTGCGGCAACGGCGGCAGTGTCGGCGATCGTGCGGATACTGCGCGTTCACCACCGGACCGGTATGAAAGTATACTGCTGGATTAATATCACTTACCGCCGGGCCCTACACCTGCTTGTAACACTATTTTGTGAATGACCCTCGGCTCATCTAACATCTATTTCCTTAACAAGACGAAATTTTACGTTTTGGAGTGGGGTCGTGGTAACTTTTTCGTACTAGTGGCAAACGATTCTGAAGTAGCAACGAGGTTGTTTTGAGTTTAATGAAACATTACAATGTGAGCCGTGTGGCTCACATACCGTGGTTTATTCATTCTGAATAGTGCAGATTAGATGTTGTCACAATGTTTAGGCTACGTTCCGGACATTATTAGTCGTACAAGTTTGGATATCTTATGAAAAAAGTGAATTCACCAAATTGTGAAGTTTGTAATAAAATTGAAGACGTCCAATACTTGTGGGCGGAATGTACTAATGACGAAAGCACAACTACTGATGTTTCTATTACAATTGAACCGCTCCAACGTCAACTTCTTCCAAGGGATTCTGTCTGTCTGAACCCTTGTCAAAATGTACAAAAATATTGTGTAACATGGTAAATCGGCGCTTGTTAACATAGTACTTTTAATAATAACATATAAAATAATTTTTACTGTAAGTTGCATGACAATTAGAATAAGGTTATGATAGGACTGGCATGTTCTCTAGAACAAAAGTCCTAAAATGAAATAAAGATTTAAAAAAAAAAGAGAGGTTATTGAAGCAACTATAGAGCCGGCTTTGAGATCCTATACAAAGATGTATTTGTTTCTTAACGTCCTAAGGGCGTGTGTACATCAACATGTACATAATATGTTAAGTGATTCAGACATAACATGCACAATATATACGGGGTTTGTTGTAAAATACTAACAACCTCATAATTTTTATATTACAAAAAACATAAACAACAACTTTTGTTCCATGTCTTTTTACAATACATTATAAATTTACCAAAAGTAAACTTTTAAGTTTTTGTATTATCTATTTAAATTCTTTTTTTTTTTTTGTAGGAACGAAATTAAAATCTAGTGAATTATTAAAATCATATCAAAAGTTGTTGTTTATGATCGTTGATACCTATTATTATTTTTTATTATAATATGTATATTCGAGATTTATGACGTTAGTAATACAGTCTTGGGATATTGTTAGTATTTTACAAAAAACTCTATATAACATATTCTATTTGACCATATAGTATCTAAAGAAAATCTCGGTTGCATTTTTAATACAAAACTGAGGGCATACTGCTTAGACCTCAAACATGTAGGTAATTTTATATTTAGTGTATTTTAATACACATTGGGTTCTTCCCATATTGGGGGTCTTAAGAGGTTACAGTGCGTCGAGTATACCAGAAATACTGACAACTCATCAGGCAAATGTTATCACTTTTAAATATCAACTCTCGTTTGCACTGAAATCACAAATTAAAGAGCTGAAATAGTACAGAGCCAACAACTGACCTGTGTGTACGTTTCCGTATATTCCAAAAATATTCTCTGTTTATTGTAATAAAAATAAGATCTCTAACTATGGGGGGGCTGTTCCACTCGTTGGTGTGGGAAAAACAGCAAAACATCTAATTACAAAACAAACGGAATCACATTTAACTGTCTCCATGACCGAATGATTGCCATGTCGGACGCAGGGGTTCCAGGTTCGATTCCCGGGCCGAGAGAAATATTTGTATAGCCTACATTTATTTCTCCTTTGAGATTGGATGTAATTTGTGGTTGTCTATGTGTGTGTCCATGGCACCCGCGACACCGGATTTCCCTAGTGCGGGGCTATGTTGAGTGTGTGCGTTATTATTTCTTATTTTATGGGTAATTAAATATTTAATATGGATTTCTTCAATTTTTGTCCATTATAGCAAAGCTCAAGTTAAACTGGTCGATTTGAAGTGAAACAATTGACAACATTCGTCAATTGTTTCGGATTCGGGCTGGCCAATCGGAGCGCAGTTGTCACCGTAACGATTCGGCAGAATAGTTTTCAAACAAATTAAATCACATTTCTCTATTTCTGGCTGTATACTCGATGTTACAATGTAAATATCTAGTTTCCAAAAAACTATTTAGAATATGATTATTAACATAAAGATCGAACATACGGAAATTTTCGTCGACCCGGTGGGACTTGAACCCACTTCCATGCTGCACCGTAGCATTGCTCTAACCATCTGAGTCACGGGTCCAGTTACCGAGTCGTAGTCCAGTAGAATTTTGAGTGTGTGTGTTCGATCTTTGTATTCATAATCATAACAAAACTAGTGGAGTTATTTCACAAAAAATATCAATAAATATATTTAGAACATGTTTAACAGTTTTTCTTTATTGCGTCTCTAAGTTAGGCAACAAAACGGGCAAAAGCGTGACATTTTAACAAACAGCTATCAAGTTCTTAAAAGCCAAATAAAAGCTGAATGTAAAGATTATATATCTTGTCATCGAGTAGGTACGTACGTTATGTTCTTAAAGTAACTTTCAAGACGGCAGTGAATGTTGAGACGAAAGTTTTCTATTATGCAAATTTATATTGTTACGCGTACATTACCTACTTCACAAGGTCGAGAAAGTCAGTCAAATAGTATGATATATTTTTTGTTTTCTTAAATTATTTCGTTACAATATAACGTACAATAGTGTGTTCATTCATTTTACACAAAGTTATAACGGCCACTCCAATTAAAATACTTTTATACGTAAACATTTTTGTGAATTTATGGAATGGGAAGTCTTAAGAACAAACAATTTATGTTCATAGTCAGAAATCTTTGCTGAAAATTGTACGTTATGCTATTTACTTAGCGTTTGAATTTGAAATTTATAAAGTTTCAGTTTATATAGCTTAACCGCTTAAGCAGACTCCGCAGTCTGAGTGTACGTACATACAAAGTGAAATGTACCTACTCATATAAGCAAGCGGTGCATTTACGAAGACTCCAATACAGGTCAAAAGCTTACCCACAATGGCTGCATGACATTTATGTAAGTACAATGCTTACATCATCCAGCGCAGCGCTACGTTCCCCGCCAATGAAAAGCACTTTTGTTAATTCTATAAACCGTATGTCCAGCTTTTTGCTTTTCAAGATCATATACAAATTGTAGGTATATCTGGTTGTTGAACTTAGAACAAAGAAGAATTCTTGAATTAAATTTGCAAAAGTCGTGAACTCGTGTCTGGTAACTTTGATAAAAAACCGCCAACCTTTCTCTTTTCTCTCCATAGCTTTAGAAGTTCTATCTTTATTTTTAAAGCGGCTACATTATTTAAAGTGATTTAGACAAAAAAACTTCGAAAGGTTTTTCATCGCCTAATTACCTTCCGAAATCCGTGGGCCGTGTACCCCTTTATTAACAATTAAATTAATTGAACGTCACGGAGTTTCATTACTAGGCGGTGTGGACAGAATAACAAAGGCGCGATGACGTCTGACTCCCGGCTGCTGACAAATTACAAGCTCTTAGTATTCCTGCCAGGTTACTCATTATCCCCTAATATTATTAGATCTGGTTAACAACTGACACTTGTATCTACAAGTTATTTATGTTAATTTCTACTCACCTGATGTGTAATATATCTTGTAATGAAAATAATTTCAAAATGTACCTTAGTAGAGAAGTTTTTTTAATGTCAGGATGTAGGTAATTCAAATGTAAGTCAAATATAATTTAGTAGAGTTAAACTTTTTTAAATTAACAAAATTTATTTCTCTCCACAAATTTAGGTTACAAATTATTGAGTACAAAAACAGGACTAATTAACTAAAAACACAGAAGACGTCTCAGCTTCCAGGCTCTCCAGATCGAACTTAATCCTATTAAATTTACTAATTGGACAAAGGTGTTAATGCAAATGTTTGTATTACTTTCAAAAAACGAACACGGAAAGTTTGACATTTATGGACCATGCGCCTTCTTCCCGGTCAAAGCCTGCAAAATAATATTTCTTTACTTTTTTTTTATATATCTTCCTCTCTTTAGTCTTTTATTACTTCCACAAATTGTTTGAGAAAAATTCTATACATGCCTTGGCGGGAACGGGGATTGCTTGACTCGTATTAATACAACTCACTCATACTCGTCCAGCAATCCCTTACTTCCCGGCCTCTGCAATAATGTACTATTTCTCAGACATGCTCGGAAATATTTGCATTACTTTCAAAAAACGAACATGAAAAGTTACACAAATGACATTTAAGACCTGAAAAATATATGTATGACAATCCATTACTGCCCACTTCTCTAAACTCTAAATCTACCTAATATTAATTAACTATGTAAACAGGCACAGGAATAATCTCAGTACAGAGTACTAAAAATACCGACCTCAACAGTTCATCGCATTACATCATCCCCTAGTTTACCACCCATAGATCATCAAAATCGGTTCACAAATATCGGAGTTATCACGTAACTGGCATACAAAAAAGTATGTTTTTATGTGTTTTTAAGAACTTATCCTTTTTTGAAATCGGTGGAAAACTCACACAGCCAACTGCCAAGTGTTTGTAATAGCATCGTATAAGTATTTTTTTAAAAAGGCGGTGAATGAGTGCTTTGGTATTCTGTTCTGTTTTTTTTTTTTGCCTTATTTCTATATTCGTCGCGAAAATAAGTTCTAGTGACAAAAGCGATAACGACAATGCCTGCATATACTGTATCAAATATTACTTTTATTTTTAATTAACTCTTTAGTCTTTTATTATTTCCTCACATTATTTGAGAAAATCACTATATAAGCCTCGGCGGGAACGGGGATTCCTTGACTCGTATTAATACTTATGCTCTTCCAGCAATCCCTTACTTCCCGGCCTATATGCAATAATGTACTATAGACTATTATAAATAAGCAACAACGAAATAGTATATACACCCCAACCACACCTACGGTGGGTGACCCCACCGTAGGTGTGGTCGGGCTCGGCCTGCGACGCGTGGTCGGTTTCAGTATACAGGGTGTGCTCATGCTCTTCGGTGGCACAGCAGTTAGTGCTATGGGCGCTTTATGATGAGGTCGATTCCCGA